AACAAGCCAATTCACTTCGTGAACTCGGCAACCAGGTTACCAGTTTTTATTTCACCTCTGTTTTTTTTTTGGCGGTTCACTCCGCGCAAGGGGGATGATCGCACCACGTTGTGTTAAAATGGTCAAGCACCCTCGAGGCAGTTACACAGTGCTTCCAACTGTCTCTGGAAGTGTAAGCACCAGAAAATAAATTAATTCATNCGGCTTTGTAGGGATGCGAGGTCAATGGTCTAACGACTACGGCATGCACGCATATTAGTAAACAGGGACGTACGGAAGAAATACCCAACGTGGATCTCGCTGCTTGCCGTCGAAAAACACTTGCTCCTAAAGCAAGAGAGCGAGAGCTGCTGCTCGTGTATCGGGGGACAGCAATGTATGAGTACTGTAGATCTCTCTCGCCTGTTGCCGGCTCGTCTGGCGGCCATATGCGTCCACCGTGATGGCACGCGGAGAACGAAACACGCCTGATGAAGTCTGTGCACATCACATGAGCGCCTCAAGGCCCCTTGCGGACCGGAAATTTGATGGAGATATCGGAGAGAAAAACGGCTTCGTTGTGGAGCAAAAAGAGTACACACACCTTGTCAGAAAAGGGGACGGCACCTAGCTTTGGGATGCTGTGCATTCGTACACTCGTGATACTCTAGCGAAGCGTAGCGCAAAGAATATAGGAGAATCAGGCAGCTCTTCGCGACGTACGGGCGAAATTGGGTTCCTACCTGCGTCACCGGTAGTAGTAAGAGCGGTATTGCCGTGGTTTTGGGGCAATCTGTTGTCCTTTTATTTACCCCTGTGGCAAAATCCACTATCTTTTTGTCGTGCAGAATGTTGATGTACTGGCACAAGCGATAGCGTGTTAAAGGACAACCACACAACTCGATTCGAATATTGAACAACACTCGACCTCGGGTTGCCGGCCGGCCTTTCTTGCTTCTACAACTCCCCTGCCAAAGGCGCATCCGTTTGAGGTATTTCATGTCTCCATTGCCACCGGGGTGGTAAACTATCCTCCCTTGAATGTCAAGGACATGTCCGTCCGTGAAGGACACGTTTCAAATGCGGAAACCATCTGTGTGACTCCCCGAGGTTTGATTGTAGACGGCAAACACACAGTGTTATGTGTTTTCAACCGCACTGAGACCGACGTCATTTCATTGGTCAGCCGGTTAGCTAGCGCGGTCGATGCTAATAGTAAAGACACACATCCAAGTCCGGGTTCGTCGTAGGCGTCGGCCTTGCCTTCACGTCTTCGTCGGGTATCCGTCCTTTCTCTCCCGGCGCTGCTGCCTTGAAAATCGGGGCTAGCGCTGTCTGTCCGTCACGAGCCGTTGGAAGACAGGTCGGCGAAAGTCCTCTTAGCTGCCTTTCCGGGCTGGTGTGCGTTTACTATTTACAAGCTTCGCACACAACTTGACCAAGTCACTGGTGTCCCTCGTACCTGTCGTCATGGTGTCTGTTGCCGCCAACGAAAATGACGATGCAGGGAATGCCCCAGCTGCGGAAACAACTGCTTTGCCTCTCGCAGCGAGTGTAACCGCTGCCAGACCCCCAAGCCGGCCGGCGGTGGCGGGGGGGGTGGTGGCTATGGTGGCGGCGGCGGCGGCGGCTATGGCGGAGGCGGTGGTGGCTACGCCGGCGGTGGTGGCGGCGGATACGGTGGCGGCGGCCGTGGCGGAGGCGGGAGGGAGGGCGACTGGTGAGATTGTTGCAGATGTGAAATTGCATGTAACGCCAGGATGGTTAACTTTGGGTACTGGTGTTGCTGCGAGTATAGAGCTTGTGCTACGCCGATGATAATTTTCGGTTCCGATACAACATTCCACTCTGATTCTAGTATATGTACACAAACTGACAAATAAAAACTAGACAAATCAGCGGCGGAGCACAAGTCACAGCGAGTTGTGTCGAGCTCATGCTGCGTATGTCTTGAGGGTATTTGTTTCCGAGAGCGGAGGTGATGCAAATGACGGAAGCTTGCCCGTTTGTGATCAAATAGTTTATTGAGGGTACCTGTCCCGATCGTAGGAGCCGGTGCCCAGATGTTGTGTAAGTCATCTTGCCGAGCGTTTGTGCGCCTACCTCAAGCCAACACCTTTATTGAAAGATCGCTGCTGATTCTATTGCAGTGTTCGGCACCGCATATCCCATATACCGTGGAAGCCGAGGGACATCCCTAGCTGTATCCGGCATCACGGTCCTCGTATCTGTCGCAACCGAGCTCTGCATTCCGCACACCCTTACTATCCTTTGACGAATAACAAGAGCCCCCCCCCCCCCCCCCCCCCCCC